GGGGGGGGGGGGGGGGGGGGGGGGGAGTGGAAGTAGTAAGATGGAGGAAGGAATGACCTAGAAACGGAATCTATATGCAAGAAGTATCCATGCACAGCAAACAAGGGCACATGCCCACTCTTGACTTGCAACTAGAAGAGGGGGTTCTCCAGGCTGTGAGGGGCGGCCCTAATCACATCGTGAAGCCACGATGTCATTGGGGCGACCCATTCTCGGAATTGCTAGACTCCTCTGGGCTCTGGCGGAAGTTTTCAAAGATCCTGGTCTGTTGTCCAGTTAAATCATGGGACCCTAAGCTCCTTGCATCGGGATTGGTGGTGTCCCAGTCCGGGGATGAAGCCACAATTCACTTGGCTTCTCGGCAGTCGTGGCGTGCTATTCCTGGATTAAGGCTGACGACTTATCGGAATCCAGGTGATGCCCTCTGTACTTTGGCTGTTGGGATTTTTGTTCAGGTCATAGGCAACGAGCCAAGTACCGGATAAGAGAAATGCCCTATTTGTCAAAATCGGTGCTTCCCCGAACTCCACGACTGCATCTTCCTGTATGAACTATGAACACAGCTGCCTTGCCAATGCTTCGGCTAATTGAACACGCGGCATTCCAAGAGCTCGGCATCTTGGGACTGACACGTCTACTCCGTACTCTCCTGCAGCGACCCATAGGAATTGGATCCGTAGCGAATCGGAGATAGTCAGAGCGGTCAGAGTGTATGTGCCATATCCTAAGTCAAAGTTGGGAGAAGATTTCAAGGTTGATCGGGGGACTACCTATGTGCTATGCATATAGTACACATTGCAGGTAAATAGTAGGAATGGTAAAGGAAAGGAAGCAACAAAAAGCAATTTGTAGTCGATACCGCAGAAGTATATGACGGACCGGCGACAAACAAGGTACCTAGTACAAGCCCAGCTAAGGCGGCCAATCAGGGGGCGGCCCGCACATGAAAAATCGCTGCAAGAGACAACTTTGCTACTTGCAACTCTTCGAAACACTTTAAGAAGCTTCCCAATTTCTATCTTTCTATTGTGAACATGGTCGGTCCAGTAGCATCCCTCTCACAATTGAATCGTGCCGACGGTTCAGCGTCATACAAATGCCCAGCCACCGGTTACAGCATTCTGGGCGCTGTCAACGCACCCATTGAACTCCCAGCACGCCGTGACGCATTGAAACCCGAAGAAGCTACTGTGGAGGTCTTTGTCAAACCTGGTACGACAACTGCCGGCGTCGGTGAAAGATATGTCGAAGGAATCCTGCGGTCTGTGCTAGGGAAAATCGTCCTCGGACGGGAGAAGGGCTTCCCCCGCCGCGGCGTGGTCCTCACCCTGGCTATTGTTGGAGGAGAGAACGTGGAACGCGGTGACTCTGTGAGATTTTCAGAATCTTATTTTTCCCTACGCTCGATCTGTTAAACTGACTTATCCAGTACCTTACTATCCTCCCGGCTCTTCTACATGCTGCTTTGCTCGCTATGGTATCCGCCTCCGTTCCTCTGTCGATGACCTTCTCCGCGACCCTCCTCTGTGTAACCAATTCTGGTGATATTGTGCGGGACCCGTCCCCGACTGCCGCCAAGGCTGCTGTGTCCCTCCACGTTTTTGCCGTCTCCTCGAAGAATCACCTTTTGCTGAACGAAAGCGAGGGTCGGTTTGAATTCGACACCTGGGAACTTGTCCGTGAGCGCGCGCTCTCAATTTGTCAGGGCGAGATAACCGCTAGCGCCGACGGCGATGTTGCTATGGGCGAAGGAACGGCCAGCGCCAGTTTGAACAGTTTCATCCGGGAGACCGTGGAGGACCAGGTCTACAGCGACTACGCCTACAAGCTCGACTCTATCTGAGGCGGACTGCGCCCACGGCAAATTTGCGGAGAGTTAGTGAGACGCGATAAAATAGGACAGGTCATTGGTCAACCCCTGGTCCCCTTCTCTTGTGCATGATTTCCCTGGAGCACTCGCTATATCTCCCCCTCGACTAGGGATACGACGGTGCCACAAAACAGTTGATCGAGTACCACACCGGTTAAGGCACCGTCACCTGACTGCCGCTGCATGTACAACATGCTTCATTAAGCTGCCACAAGCGACAGCCTTGCTGCATATGAGGCTTGTTTTCGGGTTCCCCACTGTTGGATTTCGGACGGCCCCCGTCGGCTTTCGATGAATGTTTTGGTCACCCTTACCAAGTGATTTAGCGGTGGACAGTTGGAGCTGCATACTGCTAGCAGACGCAGCCAGAATGATGGCCCACTTCGAGTTAGGGTTAGAAGGGATACATGTTTTACCCACATTCTGGGCAAAGGCTGCACAAAGTAACACGGAGAATGGAATATCCAAAAGAAATACTACCTATCATTACCTATAGGCATTCTAATGATGGTAATCATCGTATTTCTGATACATCTCTGATATGCCAGTGTAAACGTCATTTATCTGACCGCACTGCGCGAGTGTACGCATTTGGCGATGACTAGCCTGTGTCAGACTCACAGATTGTAGAATTTTCTGGGGAAACTCGCCAAAATGTCAGAAACCAAGGTAAATAATCTCCATAAGCTCCTAATTTAGTGTGATTCTCGAGGTCCGTGGTCGGTCATCTTCCTAAAAAGGAAGTTCTTTTTCTTTTTGTGTATCCTTGCCAATCCTTGTCAATCTTTACCCTACCAAACCACCACTCAAGTTTATCCGCATCCCTGTCGTTATCGACATACCGGGGCAAAAAGAGAAAAGAACCCCCCAGAAAAGCCAAAAAAAGGGTTGTGGAACACGCTAGAATCAATATCAACTGGGTCCACGACTTACGGGGGACACAGCTGCGATCTCAAGGCTTCGGATCCGCAATCCCCGTTACATCCGAGCGCATTTCCTGATTACTCCCCCATCTTATTTACCCGCCTAAGCCGATGGCGTCGAGCCGTGATCATCTACGGTCTGACACACTCTCACGTTTATCTACGGCGCGAACCCCATCTCACCCCTCTCTATCTCTGTCCCAACCCTCAACAACCACAGCGCTCCTCCGCGACCATGCTCTCAGCATAGAACCCTCGACCCAGGACAATCGCCCGGATCTCCCTCAGGGAACCAACAACGTGCTGCCTACACAAATCTCAGAATCGGCTGAAGAGGAGGAGGACGCAGGCTTGTCGCTGCCTCCCTCAAAATTACGGCAGTTTCGCCGGAGGTCGATTAATCGGCGGTCGAAGAAAGCGTTGTCGACCGACTGTATACCACGACAGACAATTCTGAAAGCCCTGGCGTCCCGGGCTTCGATCCTCACCAATAGCACCGATATTTCTCCGAGTTCCTTGTCGAGTATGCTCGCGAATAAATCCACCCAGGCTTCCCCGCCTTCCGACCTCCGACAACGGCGGGGGAGCAATGCTTCCTCCCAAAACCTCTCTACGGCACTATCCAATCTTCAATTGAGCGGATATCTCGACCGATCACCTGCCACGGCACGTTTAATACTGCAATCGCCATGTTATTTCCATCAACGCTTCGATGATGCTGTCAACATAAAAAAGGTGTTAGAGGAAATCGCCGACGACGAGTGGCTGTCGCATTCGCGACTAGTTCAGACAGCCACTGGGGTCCGTGAAGTGTCGAAGCAACTACAGCGACGACCTATCAAACGGGCAGTGCGAAATGTGATGATTGTCACTAAAGCACGTGATAACAGCCTGGTGCACTTGACTCGGGAAGTTGCTGAGTGGCTGCTTTCGACTTCAAGATACGGAAATGAATTAGGAGTCAATGTCTATGTAGATGCGAAGCTGCGGAATTCGAAACGATTTGATGCTCCGGGGCTATTGCAAAAAGACCCGATGTTTGCGCAAATGTTACATTTTTGGACACCAGATCTGTGCTGGACATCACCAGATAAGTTCGACTTGGTGCTGACGCTTGGTGGTGATGGTACCGTTCTTTTCACATCCTGGCTCTTTCAGCGCGTGGTTCCGCCCGTGCTCTGCTTTTCGCTGGGCAGCCTGGGCTTCCTCACAAATTTCGAGTTTTCCGACTACAAATCACAGCTTAATGCCGTTATGGGCGAGGTGGGCATGCGCGTCAATTTGCGCATGCGGTTCACATGTACCGTATATCGGAAAGACCGGAGCAAGGGGGCAGAGGTGGGCGCTGTCGAGGAGGGCGAGCAATTCGAAGTATTGAATGAGCTCGTCATCGACCGCGGCCCGTCCCCCTATGTGTCGAACCTGGAGCTCTACGCCGACGACGAGCTGCTTACAGTCGTCCAGGCAGACGGCTGTATCTTCTCCACGCCGACTGGTTCCACGGCATACTCTCTATCTGCCGGAGGCTCTCTTATGCACCCGTCCATCCCGGGCATCCTCCTCACCCCGATATGCCCACACACCCTTTCCTTCCGCCCAATGGTCCTCTCAGACTCCCATCTCCTCCGTATTGCAGTCCCTAAATCCTCCCGGTCCACCGCTTACTGCTCGTTTGACGGTAAGGGCCGCGTCGAACTCCGCCAAGGCGACTACGTGACTGTCGAAGCTAGCCAGTACCCATTCCCGACAGTCGTTTCCAACAACAATGAATGGTTCACAAGCGTCCAGCGTGCTCTGCGATGGAACACCCGCGGCGCGGTCCAGAAGAGCTGGGATGGTGGCGATGCCGACCCGGATTTGAACAGTGACCCCAATGAAGACGAACAGTGGGACATCGATATGGACACCGCTCTCGCTGGTACAGATAGCGGCATCGGTCCCAGTGAAGATGGGGATGCTCTGTCGCCCAATCCCATGCGTCGGCAAATGAGTTTGCTCAATATGTGATGTTCTTGTGCATGTTAGCGATTTTCGATTCCCTTTTGTGCTCTATACCTTTTTTAACGTCTACGTCTCGGTGTTCTCTTGTTTTCGTTTCTCAAACCCAGCGTGATGAGCTTCGCTCGGTGTTTGGTTTGCATTGTAACTATTTTGTTTCCGACACATCTCGGGCAGGGAAGCATCTGCAATACTGTTCTGGGATATTGTGTCAATAGATCATGACATGTTGCCTCTACGGCTTGAATAGAAAGGCTTCGGCGGGTCTACTACGATTTGTCTGGCGGCTTGCTACCATTACCTCTAGGTCCTGAATGCTGTGCATTGATCTAGAATGACGAGAGTTCCGCAGTCTCTTCTCATTATATTTCTACTTTTCGTTGGATCATGGAGGGCGTAAGAAGGATATCGGTCGTCATTTGCCTTAAGGTCGGTATTGACACAGACGTACTATATACATATGGAACTGGAATCGATGGCATTGGAAACTGGTTTCCGGCTCAAGCTTCGGGCCTCGGATACTCCTAAACGAGCTATTGAACAGAGATCATCTGAGTTGTCCGGATGGGATGATACCTGGAAGGCGAACTGGGCATCACATTGGTCCCCGCCCACAGCTCCATAATCGACGCCAATGAAGGCAGCTTGTCCCACGGCGCAGGTTCCCTCGGATCCGAAACAGGGGAAGTTCGGTGTGGGTTTGTCAGAGATGAGATTTGGTTTGAAGACGAGATTCCCACACGACACGGATTTACATTGAACATTCTTCTCGCGTTCTCTTCTTCTTTTCATCCAAGGCGCCGTGTTATGAAATCCCCGTTGTCTTCACGGTTGGCGAGATAGAAGGACAAAGAAAATGACGTATAATTAACCAGTATGCCTCAGCCAATGATCCCCGCGGCCACAGAAGTATCAGCATTAGGGAAATATTTGCCGACCTTACTTTTCAAGAAACAATTGCCCCCTTGTCCACCCCCGAAGGAAGCCGTCAAATTTGCAGAATAAACGACTCCTTTGCATTTCTGGTTGTTTGACTCATCCTTATTCCAATCTGAACATTGACGAATGCAGGCCTTCAACGTATACTCGGTTTCAATGCTCAAATCTTGCACTTTTCCGTTGCCGGATGCCGCCTCGCCCCCGCTTGGCCAGTCAACAGCACACAGCAATTTAAATATCGACCCATCAGACCCCGCCTCTGTTGTCAAGTTTGATCGGGGACACGGGTTTCCTGCGAGGCCTACTGTTCCCGTTGTAACAGGGCCGGAGGATGTGGTTGATGCAGTGGTTGTATCGGTAGATGAGGTTGTAGAAGTGGCATTGAGATCCGGGTTACTTGGCTTGGCACTGTTATAAGATGCTATGTTAGGCTGATATAACTGAAAAGCGAGCTTGGAAGGTTAACATACGGGGTTTTTCTGTTCGCCATCGATCCTCCCACACCACCCCCAACAGCACCACCAATGACCACAATCGCAATACCTACTACCAACAACCAGAAGATCGTGGACGTCACGCCGCATATCCTCTTGCGCTCCTTTGGAGACTTCGGTTCGGGCGAACCATCTTCAATTATGCCAGGGTTTGCACTTGTTGGTCCGGAAACGTAGTGTAAGCCCGCAGTATCCCTTCGGACTTCTTTTTCCATGTGAGGGACTACTTCAAGTCCGCTGTCATATTTCCCAGCCTTGCGTTGCTCCGGAGCCACCTCAAGGCCATCCATCTTGCATAAATTGGAATCGGACCAGGCGAACCGTATTCAGTTCGGCGCTGGGACAGAGAAGGCCTTTAGCTGCGGCGGGGCAAAATAACGAGAGAAAGATCAGCCCGATGGGCGATTGCTCACTACTTAATAGTTACAGAATTCGTCACAAGCTTAGGGAGTTAGTCTTTAGCGCTAAGTGGTGTACCATACCGAAAGGGCTATTGATAGCCCCTGCTCTGTCTCTCGAGTCTTACTCCGTAATGCTATTTATCGTCAAATCAAAGTCATTTGTTTAACGCTGAAGTCGTACAGCTCATTTGATTTGCTTGGACCCTTTGGGTCCCCCGGCGAAGCCCCCAACTTGAGCCAATGAGATGCCAGGCCTCTAGCCGCCCATCAGCCTTCCCGTGTTGGTGGGCTGTGTCGGAGAGCAGATCGGACGGATTAGGTATCGTTCGTACAGCAACTCTATACAGAAGGTACATACGTTGTAAACACAGCCTGAGCATAATTCAACTCTCAAACTAGAAGAAAAATAAATAATTAAGCAATGATGTCCAGAGTAATCTAACTCAATTGATCTACGACATATTACACCACGCTAATTGACGGTAAATAGGCTTGTCTATGTATGTATGCAGTCTCCGTAGCCTACCGTTTATTCACGTAGATTGCGATCCTCAACGACACTGTCCTTACTACTGTCGTCCTACATCATTCTATTTCTTTTAATGTAATCATCTTCTTTTTCGCCGTATTACTACTATTTCTAGCTACCCTCTAGACCATATAAGGCTATAAGGAAAGATTGAATCTTTTTTTGTTTCTGTTCGTCTCATGCAGTTGTCTTGTTTTCATCTTAGAAGCTTGGCCTGTGTTTTATTAAAAGAATAGGAGCCCTTGCATTTGCATTATAATATGGGAACACCTATGGTATGTAGTTTATAGGATGAAAACCATACTAGGGCTAATGCCTCCATCTTGTCTTTATGGGCCTTTGGTGTTACAGGGAATTTGCACGGAAATGGGCTGATCCGGATATCTGCATTTGGCAATGCTAAATGGTGCCGAGTGAGATATCATTATCTAAATAACTTGATGCTATAAAAAGATACATCTTCCAATTGCTAGTTATCCGGTGTACAGCCCACAAGAAAACGTAGATCAAAACACATGCCCCATTAATTAAGCAATTTCATTTACCAAGCGCGTGTCTTTCGTAACCATTATAAAGAATATTATGTTCGCTTTTACCAGTCGCAGTGCTCAGCCAGGAAGGCAGCCAATTTCTCAAGGTACTTCTTGTCCTCGTCGTCAAATCCAGATGGCTCGGTGCAGTCGACGTCAATAATAGCGACAGTCTATTAATGAAAATGTTAGTATATTTCTCAGCCAATTGTGTCTCCAGAACCGCGCCAATGCCACCAGGAAATAAGTACTAACTTCTCCATTAACCAAGATAGGCACAACAATCTCACTGCGACTCTCTGCATCGCATGCAATGTGCCCAGGGAAGGTCAGAACATCAGGAACAATGACAGTCTCCTGCTTCGCGGCAGCAGTACCGCAGACGCCCTTGCCGAACCGAATCTCCTGGCACGCGGGCTTTCCGTTGAACGGCCCGAGGAGAAGAAGCTGGTCCTCCGAGGAAGAGTATGTAGTTGAGATAGTCACACCGCCGGAAGCGGGTGCACCAGCCAATGGTGGCGAGGAGACCGGGGAGGCGAGAGCCGGGAATTTGTCATCGCGGATGTAGAACCCCGCCCAATTGACGGATGAGGAGGGGGCGGGGAGGGAGGCGTAGGCGTGCCAAAGCAGGGAAGCGACGTTGGAGAGGTTGCTGGTGGAGTCGTAAGCGATCATGCTTTCAAGGGTTCTTGCGGCTGTTGAAGCGCGTGTATTTTTGGTGCTGGCATGACTCACCTAACCCAATTCCGTTGGCCGTCCAGGAGACCTTGTGTTGATAGCAGGAGCTGTTCGTATATGTCGGCCTTGGAGCTACCGGGCATGAAATAGGAGGAGTCGGCGTGAGGCTATTAGACGCGATGGTGTTAGCTTGCAGGGATCGTCGCGGTGCGCGCTTGCATGGGTCAGGAAATTCGAGAAAAGCACTCGGGCGCAAAACATACCATTGTGATTCGGTGTATATAGGATGCGCAAAGGTGCGAGATGAGAATCAAAAGATGTAGTGGAATTGATCGAGTGGCTGCTCATTTTTTAAAAGGCAGAATCGGAGAAGCGGGGCGTTTAGACGTTCAACGAAAAAAAAGCTAGAACGGGCTTTCTTTCAACTTGGATCTGCCAAGATCGCGTTCTCCCGAGATCAACGCTTCTCTGTTCTTTGCAAGGTTATTCTTTCCCCGAATAAAATCCGACTGTCGAGGTTAAATACCATAGCTGTGGATGGAACATGCTGCCATCCACTCGCCTCAAAAGAGGTTCAACTCCACATTTCGGGGTTAACCATGTGCAAGCTCAACTCAGTTCACGTCAACTTGGGACAATCGCCGGATTTGGTGCTTGGTCGTTGACTTTCTGACTCCACCTCGGGTCCAGAAGCATCGGATCCGGAGATTTTGCAATGTCACAGTGTTGGGGTAAACTTAGAAGGACGAGCATCTCCTTCACTTTCTCCGACTGGCTGACTCCGGGAGAAAAACGATCGTCGAAACCTTGAGCTAGACATTCTGTGCACCCGATGTTTCTCCAACGCGTTGATAATATGGTCGACTTCCATCCGGAGCAAAGATCGTACTCGGGAGACTGGTCTCTGGAAACCATCGCTTCCTTGGTAATCACCAGCTTCCAGTTTCCCGGTACCTTTGATCCAGTCAGAGAAAGACCCGAACGGCTCTTGGATGTGGACCTCATCGGGAGTAATACGGACAACCGGACCTAGAAAGTGTCAAATTCAATAACTTCCATTCCCATACCAGACGGCATACCGAACTTTCGGTGCATATTGTCAATCTCATTCTCAAAAATGCCAGGACCCCAGGCAGAGAAATAAATCTCATACAACCCTGTTGCGGCAGCAAGACGAGGCCCTGGGAACCTACTGAGCTTGTGGAAATAAAGACGATAAATAACCATGACTAGGTTATAGGCCACAGCACTGCCTAGCAAGAAACAGGCCAACATGATCACTGTTCAAAAGGTTATCAAGGTTTGCTATGAAGCTGAGAAAGAGTGGAATAACTCCCTTCCATTCTAGAAATAAAATCTAGCCCCAGGGCTGTTCTCATATAACTTTCGTGAAATCTCTACGGGCTAAATATGAAGACCATCCCCCACTACCAGCGCCAGAGCCAATTGGCCAAGTCCATACCGCATGTTAGCATGTTAACCTCGCGTATAAACTTTTCGAATACCTCCGCACGGGTTAGCAGGTGGCCTTTGGCCCTAAAATTCTACAAGAGACCGGATCTTCGAAACAGAATTTCATAACGTTCCGCCCACGATTAAAATGAGCCACAACCCGTTGATATCACCAATATTGGTTTGATGGCGGTAGCTACATTATATCCCTTCTCGAACCCCAACACATACGATGTACACCGATACTAGTGGGATCTAGTGCCGATCTAGTGTGGCTTGTGCGTTCTGGCTTAGTGTTGATTTGATGACACTGGGAGTGGGGTTCGATTGTAGATACAGACCGCCAGTTGGCTTTGCGAGTTCCTGCCACTGGGGGATCTGTCGATTCGTCGATCTCTCTTTTTTCTTTTTCCCCAAAGGTCATAATAGGAGGTAAGTGGAACGTCCGAACAGGAACTTGAAATGAGGATGTCTTTTTGGATGTCTTCCAAGGCTGCCATGTTGGAAGGTGCAATGGATTTAATACTAAGCCTATTCAGGGACTATAAGGTAACCCTTTCTACCTCGGTTAGGAATGATAGCCTCTCAAATCTTGTATTTCCCAGCAGTATAATGCAACCGAAGCTGCCACCAAATACGTATCTCACCTCACAACCCATGGAGACTGGGGAACCTCCACCATCTAGAGGCGTAATCCAAACACGCATCTACGGGCTGTAAAGATAACGGTGTGAGAGTGGTCTCTGTCCATGGGTTCTGGCTTTATCCTGAATTGACTCTTGCCAGGATTGTTGACGACGCCCGAATCGAGGACGGCCAGAGCCGAGGGCCAGCTAGAATCGAGACTCGCTGCATAATGACGCCCACCGCCATTCTTTGCCACAGATATGGGATGCGCTTAGACCAATGGGGCTCGTAAGGGATATTACACCCTACCATAGGGTAGATATTCCGGTCAACGGGATCAGCAGACAACCAGACTTGGGTTGGGGCCCAAGCCCAACCCTCCCCCATCACAACCGCCATGGAGAAGAGCTCTCATCTTGACACCTGCCCACTACCCGACCAGAAAGATCCATCCCCATCGTCATCGGGGATATATGGCGTTTGACGAAAAGCGCCTATCGAGCTGATTGAGCGCCTTGTCCAGGAGGATCCAGAGCTTAGGAAGGTTCCACGTGAACGTCACCTATGCTATGCTTGTGGTTTCCGGACATCTCACGATTGGAACAACTGCCCCAGTCAAATGATATGGATTCTCGCGGTATTTTGATACGGGGATTACCCGATGTTGATGATATTGGCGCTTGTGGAGTACAGCTAAACCACTCTACGAGGCTAAACAGACTACTTACTTTTCTTTCTATTATAAGGGCAGGAACTAAGGAGGCTGGGGCAGAGCCTATCGACACCTCACGTCCTGATGCTGGAAGTCCGCGCCCTTCGAAAAGACTAAGCGAGGCTGCCAGTTACAGAGCGCAACTCCTGAATGTTGGTTTGATCGACACTGAAAAGCTATACAGTATGCTCACCTTAAGCTCTAGCGTTCATAACCTCTTCGACGACTCAAGGTTCGCGCCTCGGCCAGTCCCTGGCTCGCTAAATGACGACAAGACATCAATGAAAGTTGGGTTTCACTGGCTTCCTAAGCAAGAACGAGGCTCAACAGGCACCCACACGTTGCGATTACGTTGACATTTTCTCACGCCCCAGATGTGATCCTCTGCAGCTTACTCGGGTCCCTGGCAAAGGCATTATGCTCTTGAATTGTCAGACCGCGAAAATCATTTGCTCTGGTGATGTTATTGAGATCAAAACTCACAATGCCACAACACATCCTCTGCCATCCTTTAAGCTTCTACAGCTCCATTGGAACTTGCCGCATTGCCGCTATGCGCGGGGCTGCAGAATATGATGAGAGTGATGATGAACCGACGACGACTCAGAAAGCGATGTAGCATGGTTTCCCCGCTGGTAGCCGGATCTATAAAATCTCCCTCTCACGTTTAATTCAGCAGTGAGAACCCTTTGCAGACTTTACGCGGCAGGTCTCCAGAGAAGGCATATTCTGCAAGCTGTCAGAACAAAATGCCGACTTCTGCTTGCTGCCCGCATGTCGAGATGGAATCACAGGTGGGCTCCACCGTTGGCAGCGTGACGGCGACGGGACCACCTGCGAATACCCTCGCTGGCCGCTTGTCCGCAGCAGATTCAGGGTGAAATCTCCAGGCAAGCTGGTGGAACTTTCCCTGAGAATGAGAGACCTCAATTACCGTAGCAGGGCCGGAACTGTAAGCGCATGGCTTGCAACATTGTGAGCATCGGAGAGCATCGGAGAGAATGTGTGTTTCTACAAGATGGAGGCGTCTTCTACTGAGTTGAAGGAGTACGAGATATCGCATGGTCAACCCTGCTCGGTCAAGACAAATGTTGTCTATGTCCATGACACCCTAACGGATATTCGCGCGGACCTAGCTCGTGGATAGAGCACCATGTACTTGGCAAGTCATTTGGGGTCACCAGCTGGGACAGTCCCAAAAAGCTTCGCTTGCATAATCCAACTAATCATTTGAAACGTTAAATAGAAACTAGAATCCCTAACTTCTCTAGGTCCATAATCCTACAAAATATTTCGACATACAAATTACCTATGGATACAAATGCTTAACTTCAAGGAGGGTGAGGTTCAAAGCCCAGTAAAATAAAGCCACTATATTTACAAATCTCCATACACATGTATTCATCCACCTACATAGGCAGAACCTTGGAACTTCCCTGCTCGTTGAAGTTTGCTTTTCCTTGTTATGTTTACTCCCTATGGCTCTTTCCCAGGTTACCGATTTGGTTGCTGCGTGTTACAGTTGACCATGTATCCTTAGATACTGCCATACTGTTAGCCACGTCAGTAGTTTGTGATCACTCTTAGCTCTAATGGAATCATCCATCTTCCCCTTTGCTATAAATATCCGTCATACTATATAACCACCTTAAAGATACACAACCTACATTGTAGGTAGATGTATGTATGTAGGCCAGAGATATGTGGCCCAGTTCTTTTCATGGAATCCCAACTTCAATTCTTTGTGTTTTAACAGTCCTTTCTTTATCTGTCATGAAGTCTGTCTGAGGTGAGTCAATATCCGATGCATCCTGTCCACCGGACATGAAAATCAGTGGAGATACTAACTTGTCCTGATTAGCCCTCCTGGTAGCTATCTGAACGGAACAGCGAGGGCTACCTCCGGTACCTCTAGCTCCAACAAATGCTCTAGATGGCAGCAACCGCAACTGTAGCTTTGTGGTACACGGTAAGTGACCGTTCTTCTTTTGCTATATAGAGTGAATAATTAAACCTTTCCCCTAGGTCTAAGATGGAGACGACTGCGCCGTTGTCTCCCTCGCTTAATCTATCTCTTTAACAGACTTCTACTTCCTAAATCTAGAAATCGACCAAAACTGCACAAATCTCGAGCTTGGTGAAGCTTACTATGTTAAGCCCGTTGGTTCTATCACTAGCTACCCCAACTATACTATAACGGGAGTATTGCCTACCACCTTCACTCCTACCACCTTCACTCCTACCACCTTCTCCTCTATAAACACTACTATTTTAACATCAATAAATAGTCCTAGGTTTATATACACTACACCAGGCCTACTATCCACTACACTAGGAACCATTTCTAGCTGCTATAAGTACTAAAATACCTCCAACTATACCACACTTTGTCGAGACCTTGCGGGGGACTACGACGTTACGGTGGACGAGTTGGCAGAGTGGAACCCGAGTCTCAGCAACAGCATTGCCAACTGTACTCTCACGTTGACGTACAGCTACTGCGTGTTAAAGTACGCTAATAGCTCCTGTCAGTGCTGATACCCTTAATGTTGATATAAATTCATACTAACAGCAGACCTAGCGACTGCCATTAATACTACGAGATCTAACCGTCTGCCTATCAATGCCACCGGGTCTGGAACTGCCTCTAACTGCAACTGCTTCACTTACGTCGATAGCTATGACGCCCCGGGTATGTGCGTCCGGTCTTGCCTTCGGAAGAGCTTCCACTAACTGCGTTGAACAGATTACACGTTAGCACTGGGCAATTGACAATCAACTATGTCCATTCGACAGACTGTGATGAAGCTGTTTGTCCTCCTTCTTGAGGGCCCTTGTGTGAGGCAGTGTGGAAATAGAGGGGATTTGCCAAATTTTGAAAATATATCTTCTAGATTTGGTTCTATCAGGTCTATTAGCCACCGTACTTAATTTGGGATATTTTCTGAATTTCCTACCGTAGTTACTCTTCGAGTATTTGAGGGCGTACAATGAAGTGTGGTTCGTAATTAGGTCCCTGTAGTTCTAAAATTTGACCGATGATATACTATGAGTGACTCAACGCCTACTCTCCTGGTGGACCTGTCGTAAAGCCAAGTCGTAAGATAGTATCGCCCTAAAATAATTGGCGGGTGATCTACGTTCTGGAGCCGACCAAATCCGCTAGTAAGCCGCATGGGGATCGGCCTACAGCTCACGCTAACGTCCGCTCACAACCCGCTCGAATGTCCCTCTTCCGGGCATCATCAAATAGGGTAAATTTAGTGTAGCATAACTCTGGACAGTGTGGGCCAAAACAAACGGGGTTCCCGGATCATTTCTAGCCCTAGGTCCCATAGTAATGTTCCCCGGCCAAGTTGCGAGACCGATTATCTTGTTGAGTGACTCTAGTTCGAGGTTCTGCTGCCTAGTTGCCACTTCGAAGTTTCCGATATTGCGACCATTCCGCACTTTCTTTCCTCGAACATAACGGAACCATCATATCACCCGTCCCAGAAGCAGCATAGTGACACTCAAAGACCCAAAAATCATTCCTTCAAGAGCCCTGGTGCTCCGTCATCATGAACGCCAGCATCCAAGAAATGACGTGCCAACCGGTCGAGGTCGACGGCTTCGGCTCCGCCGCCGACGACGCTTGGCTCGACCAACACACTGCACCCATGGACGGCGAGGAAGAGACTGGGGCACATCCCTATCAAGCTGCGGCTCTCAAAGCGTACCTAAAAGGCGACTCCAAACCATCCGAGACAGCTGCCGCCATGACCAAGCCTCATGACTCCGAGAAGAAGACCGACCTGCGAGACCGCGTACTGGGCATAATCGAAGACGCGCTTTTGGAGCTGCCCGAAAGTCACACGCCCGCCCTCGTCGTCCTACTAAAGGAACTTAGCCAGCTACCAGACGAAGAGGACGGCGACCCAGTCTGGAAAAGTCTCAGGAGTTTCGGCAACTCGTGGTCAGATGGATGGAAGCAGAGCCACTGGCGCAAATCGTTGCCGATGCGGGATCTAGCCATAAGAGCGAAGAGGCGCGAGGCCCACGTGCACCAGGCTTTTGTGGAGGCATCTTGTGCAATGGCTGCTCCGGGACCGAATGCTGAAGATGGTCTCTTGCCACTGAGCTGGGGCTATGAGTGCATCTCCGAGGCGCTCGAATGCCAGGATGCAGTGTGGGACTTTGAGGTACCTGCTGCGGCGGTGTGGATTAAGGTAGCCGGGGAAAGACTCAGAGAGGGCGCGAAGAAAGGTGAGAAGTCCTGGGCGTTGGAGAGAGAGGGGAGGCTTTGGACGGCGGGACCGATGAGCATGGATCGGTGGAATTTCTGGTTGAAAAGATTCCAGGAGATTGAGAAGATTGGCAAGGTCATCTCGACAACGGCCAGTGAAGGTGCACAGGATGCTCGAGCCCAGGGTAAGGAGTAGTTGATGCCTTAGCCTATAGACTTTGCTATAAAATAGCAGTCTGGATTGTAAGATTGCTTCTAGACGGCCTTGGTTGGCAAATTGCACATGTGCTAGACTTCGCCCGTGAAACAATCGCTGATGAAGCCGGATTCCAGCTAACAAGCTAGAATATATATGATCGGTAGTAGGCAGCGCCGACCAAAGATAGACGTATATATGGTATTTTCGCCATTGGTCTATATCTCTGCCCTATGCTTACGAAGACTTATGGTTCGAGTATAGAGGTATCGGAGAGACCGCATATTACAAGACTCACATTACATTCGAAAACAGTGTCGCCAATAGCAAAAACCAAGGTTAGGACTGTGAACTGTGTTTCAGTACCAGAGCTGCTTGGCGACTCTGCGGAGAGACGATTACTGTTCTTCGAAACTGTGCAACCTAGTAAGGTTCAACTGTTGCCTAACGAACTACGGGCGCTGGATATAGCGGGGTGGTCTTGTTTTTAGCGATCCGTTTAACTGGTATTTGACAAAGACTAATAACTATTGCCAACTTAAACCGGGGAATATCGGTCCACCGTTTGCCTACACCGATATGGACTATATCGCCATCTTAACACACCTTCGGTGCCTTTACTCTTACCACCCGCGGAACTGCCTCGTAGGGTGCGCCTCTATATGATTCGCTTCTCGCGTTAGAACTTCGCCTAGAATGCCTAGAATTTCTAGCCTTACGGCCCTTAAGGCGTGTACAATAGCGCATCTAGAGGCAGCCTTCCGACTTCCAGGAAAGTACTCTACGATTCGCTTCTATAGCAAGCTCCACTCTTCCTTCAATTGAATCAAAAGCTAGTCGTCCTTAGATAGGGACCGGGTTCGCCCGGTCGTTTTCCTAGCGCGGGACCCTTTCTAGGGGGGTCGTATAGAATGCTAGCTACCAATTTAATTGTAAAGGGTAAGAGCCTGGCACATACCGCAATAGGTAGATCAATCGGGAAGAACATTAAACCAACGTTCTACCAAAAAGACCACTATGTCAACCTCTACGGTTGACATGCCAGGTTACCAATTCATAAGCCCAGTTCCTAAGACTACGCACCCTCGTAAGTGCCGTTCCGAGATATGGATTTGTCCGTTACAATATAGCTTAAACCTCGGATAGACAGGCTTCCGTGCATAAACCTCACGTGATATTTAGGATGCATAAATCCAATGTTTCACCGGTTACCCGGATGTGTATTGCATGCCACTTTATAGGCCAACCCATCCCTGGCAGAAAGAAGCTTAAATCTTGAATCCAACTCGAGTCACGCTTAATATGTATGACAGAAGTGTTTCTTGATTGATCTTGGTCTCCTACCCTTCTAAAATAAACATGCACAGAGCCCGCATATCGCTCCTGTCCATACCGATACGGAGACCCGTATCCGTACCAACATTACCACTCGGCAACTCCAACTGCCATGGGTGGTCCGATGCCTTCAAGGCTTGCCGTACCCCAGAAAATGTCACCCCTGAGCGGACTCTATCAAGCCCAGAGTGGATCCCACCGTTTCCAATGTCAACGGAAAGCGGGTAGAAGGCCTTCCATCGCCAAGATGGAGAATATTTAAACGAGCTCCAATTTCGGTTTCAATTGACATTGCCGAGGTGCACTCACACCATTCTTCCTATATCATAAGCGTCACTCAAAATGCCTGAACAAATCCTTGCGGGAAAGACATGCCTCGTCACTGGCGGTGGCGGCGGCCTCGGCAAAGCAATTGCAACCCAATTCCTCGAAGCCGGCGCCAGCGTCGTGATCTGCGATGTGAACGAGGAACGTCTGCAGAAGACCTCGGCCGAACTGTCATCCAAGGGTCCCCTGAAGGCCATCAAGGTCGATATCACCAAGATCAACGAAGTGGAGAGCTTGTTCGAGACGCTGATTGGCGAATTCGGCAAAATTGATGTCCTCATCAACAACGCCGGCGTCATGGACCACTTCGACCCGATTGGCGATCTGGACATGGAACTTTGGGATCGCGTCATGGCGATTAATCTCACTGCCCCGGCTCTGTTGAGTAAATTGGCTGTTCGCAACATGCTGGCGCAGTCGAAGCCTGATGGACGCATTATCAATATTGTTTCTGTTGCCGGAAAGGCTGGATGGGCTAGTGGTATGTTCTAACTGAAGTGAGAACTTTCTACTGGATCTGAGATTGACTAATTCTTCTAGGTGCTGCCTATACGGCCAGCAAGCACGGTCTGGTCGGATTGACTAAGAACACTGCTGCGTACTATGGCAATAAGGGCATCAAGTGCAACGCTTTGATGATGGGTGGCATGGAAACCAACATTGCTGATGCGTTTAACACTGGAATGCATATGGAGGGTTATAAGAAGATGGTAAATGTCCTCGAGGCGATTCAAGCTCCCTACGTCGATGTGAATGAGGTCGCTGGGTTCTGTGTGAACTTGACATATGGAAAGGGGGCCGGTCAGATCAATGGCGCCACCATCGCTGTTGATAATGGCTGGACTTGTGTCGTTGGATAGACTACAAGATTTTGGACAGCTGATTGCACTCCGTTCTACGGGAGTATAATTATCAGCGTGTGTCTCTCCTAAGTGTATATATTTGTCACATACATATATTTATTGTAACTACTTGGAGACAAACAAACGAATCAATTTAGATGCGTTTCACATCTCTTCAAAACACCGAAGACCTAAGTAACTAAGGGATTTGGCTGAGGCGGTGCCTGATCCCACTTCTCCACGCCTTCAGGGATATCAACGATCGCCTCCTGACACCAGATATGGACTGCAGTTCGCAGCATTTCTCTGTTCAAATCCTCCAAGCAACCACCTTTCACATTGGTAATTGCAGAAAAGTCGGGCTGTTCGCCAGGTGGAGGCACAGTATCTCGGAAGCGATGGAAAAGCCGCGCGCCACACTCCTTGCAGAAAAGGCACTCCATCTCGCGCCCCTTGAGGGTAACGCGAGTGTAGGTGCTGACTAGACCGGAGACTGAACCAGGAAGCTCGAAGTACGGAAATGTTGCGGTGATGCCGAACGCGGACGAGCTTTGGTGCTGGCATTCTGTGCAGTGGCAGATCCAGAGTTTCAGAGGTTTATCTGTCGGTGTTGTAAATTGAATCTTGCCACATTGGCAGCGAGCTTTCATCCCCATGTTGTGTTGCGAAAGAATGTAATTATTCCAACGTGAGGGGTCGATCAAGATACCAGAGATGAACCTCGGGAGTTACCCCCGAGCCCGTCCAGGGTGCTTAGGAGAGTAGACGCTGAGGTTTGATATTCTGGCCTGAGTTGAATATGTTTTAAAATTGAGTTGTTCTGTTAGGCTAAAAAGTCATCCCTCCAGAATTCGAGTTTGGTATTATCTTAAGTATATTATCCTTGATATCATCCATCTGACTGATGAAGTCATAGGCCTACCTGTTTCCACGTTTATGTTACTTTCAATTTTTTGGATAGTCATTTTCTTTTGCTGGTCATTGAATGCAAGATTGATAGAAACCCAAATCTCATTGTCAAAGGGAGTATTCTGAGTATTCTGTAGGAACATTTGAATAACCTCGATCCTAGGTGACCAGATTTGGATTGCGTAATGCTTGAAACCCACTTTCACCATCTTCGCATCTCATTCAAATTTCAAAATATCTCTCATTGACGGGAACTTCATCAAATTTTACCCTCAATGCACATCTCAATAACAGCAATGGCCCCGGGAATGTCGCCCCATGCTTCATAGGTGAATTGCAAGGCCAGTTGCACCTGTTCCACGCTCCCGGTCGAGTACGACATGGGTTTGGCCTTCAAGTGCTCAACTGGGTTCACAAGGGCCGGCCAAAAGTCCGCATTCAATTTGTTGACGGCCTCGTACAAGGTGCGGATTTGAGCCTTTACTTTCACCATTTCGAGCCATCCGTTGTCACAGTTAACGATGTTGGGGTTCTTGGTGATAGTCGAAGGTTTGAGTCTGACTCCCAGCATGCGGGCAGTACTTCCATCAGGATTCCTCATGTCCGTAAGAAACACTTGAAGCACTTTGACCTTAATGAGGGTCACAGCGACAATATGGGAAGATCAAACAACTTGTCACAGAACATGTCGACTGGCTCGAGGGGATTGGCGTTCATGATGTCAAGGTACGGCAGAGTATTGTCACCCCAATTATAGTTATCCTTCTGGAAGGTCGTAGCCCACCACTTCAGAAAATCATAACATTCCTGGTCCTGCTGGAGACGAATCATCAGGCCGGGGATGACGTCTCGCCAGCCCATGTTGTCGCTTCGACAGAGCCGCAGGTTTTCCATCAGGATGTCGAGTTGTGCTAGAAGCGATTCAATGTTCTTAACATGTCTCATTGCATCATATAGAGCACTACGGGATCTCATGTAAGGGCGGGTGTCGAAGATCCCCCAGAAGTTTCCGACGCCGTGAGTGAAGACATCAGCTGGCAGTAACATATAACCTGGATGATCCCGTAAGGCCTGTTCTTCTTTCTCCATAGCAGCACGACATCTTCTGATAGCGCTGCAAGCAGACTTGTGCGCGTTGTAGTGGGCGGCCTGGTGCTCGACATCACAGTACATCATGACCTTGCAGTTAGAGCAACGAAGAAGTCCATCTTTGTTGCCGCACACACCACAGCCGGATGGGAGTGGCATTTTCTTATCGGAGTGACGTAGAAAGAAGACAGTAGTGTGTCGGTGTTCTTGGTAAAGAATAAGTTCAGAGTGAAGGAAAAAGATGATCAAAGTGCTGTGCAGAGGCCGGTGAAGGTCTTGCAAGTTCTGTGGAAAGACCGGCTTGCTCAGGAGGTAAAGGAGGGAGGGAGCGGAGGAAAAGATGGGGAGAAAGGGAGGAGCGCTGGTAGGGTATCTATTATGGAATTCATTTAGTTACCAGAGGAATCGATGATGGGAAACAGGCCATCAAAGCTAGGCCACAATATGACAAAAGTCACAATAACATGCCCTTCTCAATCGTTCCAGTTATATATCTTCTGATACGGACTGAGATATGAGGCATCGTTTTATTCTATTTTCTCCGCAAGTACTTCTTTCCGCAATAGCTAGCATGAAGTATTGAAGATCTGTATGTAGAATCCATCCCGAGAGCTGACCTTACTAGATCTATACTTATGCAGAATTCCCACATGATTGTTCATCCCCTGTCTCAGGGAGTCTTATTGAGTATCTTGACTTCAGAAACACATGAAAGAGTGGAATTATACGCATCATTAGCTATTGCGGGCCGATGATAGGCCTATTCCCCGGACCACGTGAGATGCATGTGATCTTAAGCATCTGATTTCCCTCGGAATAACTGTTCATCCCCTTCAGTCCCCACTTCTACCTTTGCTCGCCTTCGCAAAAAGTACTAGGTCAGACGACTCCTTGCTCTTTCTGCTCAATCCATCTACATGAATCACCGGATGCCATCATGAAGTTTTTCGAAAACAATTTCACCTACGATTACTCCTTCCCCGCCGTCTCCCTCGCCTATTTCCTCCGCTATCCCAACCCTTATTCTCGCCATGTCCTCACAACCGATGTCATTGACAGATACGTTGACCCCAATACCCAACGTCTTCACACCATCCGGCTACATCTGAAAAAGTCCAAGATCCCATCTGGAATTCTAAAGCTTCTGCCAAAAGGCATGGGAGGCTCAGACAGTTCTGGTCAGAGCTATATTCTTGAGAAGACCATTGTTGATGCCAAGGAGGGTTGGATGGAGACTGAGTCCCGCAACATGGAGTGGACTGGAATCTTGAGTGTGGTTGAGAAGCAATGCTACAAGCGGATCCTATCCGAAGAAGACCGCCTAGCTCTCGATGGTCTCGCCGTCGACAAAAGTTCCGAACAGACTAGTGTGAAGACCACGGTTACCTTCCGCTCCCGACTCGGACAGGGCAAGCTGCTTGGGAAGAAGAAGCAGGACACTGGTGACCATGAAGAGGAAGAGCCTCGCAAAGGATTCTTCTCGTCCCTTTCCACTGCCGGCATTCAGCGGACCATTGAGCTCATCGGTGTGAGTCGAACCAAGGAGGCCGTTCTAAAGAGCAAACAGGGCATGAACATTGTCCTCGAGCGCCTACGCAATGGTGGTGTTGTCGGTGTCCTAGAAGGCATGCGCCAAGACCGAGAGGCAGCTTTCGGACCTGACGGTCCGTGGAAGCGTGTCTGGCTGCAGGGCAAGGACCGTTCTATTGAAAACGACAAGTCGTGATTGACATCCATGTCTATTTTGGATTGTCATGTTTTTTCTTGGGTTGTCTACCCATCGTCGCATTGTTTCAAGCGTGGAGTTCTGGCGTGGGGATATGATCGAAACTCTCCCTCAAATCTTTTCTGATTGTTGATATTCGAATTTGTATGACTATCTGTTTGCATGAGGCAAAGCCTCTGGGATGTACATCTAAGCTAAGGGCATGTTTAACGCTCATTTGAAGGTTCATTGTACAATATGCATCAATTTTCTTTTCTGGCTTTCTTTTGGGTTTCTTTTCCATTGTCACTGGTGCCTGTTTGTCTGGTCTATATTCTGTGGAGCTGGACGAAACTGTGTGCTTCAGGCGCAAACCACTGGTATCGGGTATGCGATCAAGTCTCGGTCGTTTGGGATGTCAACAATATCATTCGCGTGTCTTATGCACACCGCTCTGACTCGCTTCGGTTCCTGATATCGATATCGATCAGAAGCCAAAGCGAACGTCGAAGTATGTCTACGTACTCAGATTATTATCAAGTTTTTAGCCCGCTTTCGTTTACCGTCAATTCACCTTTATCATGGAGACCCGCAAGATGGAAGAGAAGATGGACATCAATACCGCCACCAAGGCGCCACCGCCGGCAATGCCGCATTATTGACGCAGAACATGCCACACCTCTGGCGTCTAGTAAAGGCCATTGACACGTACGGAGTACTCGGTGGGTCGGTTCCACTTGACAGTTTGAACGAAGCGCAAACCGCCGAGGTCGAGAGATACCCTGTGGCTGGTCCACTCCGCTGCCGATGACAGCCTTGCGCGTGAGAAGAACAGATTCCGCAGACCTGCTTCATTGATGCTGGACTCCCAAGCCCAATATTGGCTCGTGGTTGTTGTTTTTTCTTTTGTTAGTATTTTTGGACACCCTAGGTTAGATTATTTTGTTCTTATTTTAAGTAGCCGGCTCAAAATCTGAAATCATGATATTGCCTTTTTTACTCTGCGGCGTTCGGATATTTCATAATTGAAGATGACTGAGAATAATGATCCGGAACCTTCCAAGATTGCAAGGCCGGGGGGCAGACCTCGGGATGTACTTGAGGATGACTACATATTGTAAGCATACCGAAAGTTAGGGAGGCCAGCCGGCATACTATTGGATTAATTGTGTTTTCAGTAAACGAGGGAGTGCATCCCCAAGCATCTCCGGAGTAACGTGAAAAGTACATATACGGAGCCACGGAGGATTACTGGACTAAGTACCACGCTAGTGTAACGCCCAATCAGCCAAGGACCCTTGGCTTAAAACACGCGAACCCGTGATTTCCGACACCAATGAGAGTATGTTTCAGACCCTCGAAACCAAAAGCCAAATGACGCAGTGGGATTCTCTATCCGATTATTTCAGGCCGGCTTTTTCTTACGTCAGAGGAGCTATTGCAATGGAGCCTATCGGAGGACAGGCAAGGATTATACTCCGTACATATCTGGCAATCCGTATGGATCACGGCGTCTTGCATACGCACAGATCTCATATGGCTATTAGGATTATTGGCCATTATTTGTTATGATTTTACTGTCAAAGTATGGTGCTTCCACTCTGTACTGAAACATCTGGAATGAAGATGAGGTCATGCAAATCTATGATCTGAGGAAGATCTGACCTTAACTCTGAAAAGAGAAATGATATACCAGTGCATACCAATCCCCCAACTGTGAGGCATTATCGCAGCTAAGTGGTTGGTCCCTGCTTGAGTTGTGATCGTCGCCAATAATTTCCCTTCCTGGTAGTGCGGGGGCATTTTGTTTAGCGCGGAAAATAATATTCCCAATTCCAATCAAGGGGGTACTTAAAGGAGACTTGTCTCTTCCCTGACTCCACTATGATGCATCAAGTACCTTCCAGGTATCCAGCAGGTACCCAGCAGGTACCCGAGTTTCCCAAATTCACTTTTTGGAGGAATGCTCGGAGAAACCTGTGCAATTTTGATACATTTGAAATAACACTTCCTTGTCCTCTGTCTCTACGGACTCTTTGCCTCCTTGGCAAGAACTCGGCATTTTTTTCTCTCTTTCTTTTCCATTCTCCCGGAAGCTCCATTATCCATCTCCCAAAAAACCCGGTGAAATAACATCCACGGACCCTTTTTTTTGGTTTTCACCGAGACTAGCCTCATTTTCTTCACTAAGACGCCCTAGTCGGTATTGCGGGGACCGGATTCCCTGGCTTTCCTGGCTTTCCTGGCTTCCGTTGACAGCCTTTTATCAGTTAATCTCCCACCCTTTTTTTATTACCTCCTTTCCCCGTAATGAACTTGCAAGACATCTGCTCTTGATTATCCCGACTTCGAGGGCCTCCGTGGTCACTCTTGCTGGTCATATAACCCCTGGATATGGCTTTCAATCTGAGCCTCGGGTCCCTAACCCTGCTGATGGTATTGCTACAAACTGTATCGGCTCAGTTCTGCTCGTTCTGGAATAATGGCTGCATCGACTCGCTTGCTCAGACCGCGATTCGCTTCGACCTCAACCCTCTCTTCCCGGACCCTGTCACGCTCTACTACGGCTTCGATGTCAGTTCCTCTGGTAAGGGCGAAGGGCCCATGACAAAGACGGCGTTTTGGCTGGGATATCAAAACAAGAATATCAATCTGAACGCTGTCGACTCAAATCGCACGTCGGAAGTCGGCCTCAGGGTGGGCAATTTGACTGGTACCCCTTCCGGGGCGAACAATGGATGTGATGGGATTTGGGGGGAAGATTGTTCCCGTGATCTTAAGAGTGCCCTACAAAATGGCATATATCGTCTTGCTGTGTCGGGCGAGTACTATTCCAAGCCTCTTGAGGCCGTTCTCAGCAAGATGTTGGCGAAGCCGCCGCCGCTGCCTGCATGTCCCCCACCCACTCTGGACGTCGCGGCTATACCAGTCCAAGGTATGTCAATTATTCTTTCTTCCTCGCCTTATGTTCTAACTTTCCTAGATTTCGCCAGAGAACGAGTCCCTGATCAAAATGTCACCATCATGCCACCTGGCTCGGGCGCTTGGCCTTGGCAGGTCTGGTACCTCGATAACATGAACGCCCGCAACCAAGCTTCCCAAGTGGCAGTTGGCATCATCAGTCGCGCCCCTTCTTATAACAGTATACCACCCGACGGTCCAGATGATATCATGGTTGAGCTTGTTTGTGTGCAGGCTCCTTCGAGTGGATCTTCCAAGAGCTCTCAAGACTAAACCGGGCTATAGAGGTCGGTTTTCCGATCGTCCTCGGGCTTTTCTTTTCCTTTCTCTCTCTCTGGGTGGTGGGTCGTACACTGCGTCCTTTTACCTCCGGTGCTTCTCGGTACTTGACTTGCAGTCTTCGTGGACGCGTGCCAGTGGCATTCCATTGCGGAAAAAGACGCGAGTCCGAGCAAGATCCCAGGGCAACCCCACTTTCTTTGGTGCAAGTGCA